ACTACAGGAGGAAACCAAGTGCATGTGGGAGTTTGAGATGGATGGAGAGTATTTTCAAATATTAGCAGAATCCATCCCAAAAAGACTTCAACTGGTAATAAAATGTAAGGGAAATATGAGTAAGTACTAAATAGCAGTAGAAAAACATTTTAAGCCTGTAAATGTGTTTTATTCACCCTTGAAATAAGTTTTTCTATGAATATCATGTGAAAAATTAAAGGGTATCAATACTTTTTGCGGTAATTGTACTGTATAGCGAACATCATTGGACCCTATCTCGTTATATATCCCGACCCTACTGTACTATGTTTAAATAGGGTTCTTTGGGTCATTGGTATCTGTTATGTACAGTATGTGATAATTTGTGTTTATGGTTTTTGGGTCAAAACACATGGTTAAAATTGTGCATCATCATTATTTTACAGCCATTTTCCACAACCAAGTGCAACAGTACAGTACATACTTGATATATTTTGGGTTCATGGTCACAAGATCTATTGCCTAAGTCGCTTTTTAGTTCACAGAATTCACATGTTTGCCAAGTGGTTGTCACAAAGAACATTTTTGCCCCAGATTTCAATTTTTGCATACTGTACAGTACAGTACCCTGTATATGAAAAATCCAAACATATATTGTTTTTGCAGCACTGGAAAATGCTGAGATGCTAACAAAGGCATCTCAAGAGTTTCTTGTGCCAGACCTGCTCAGTTTATAAAAGCAATGAACTAAAAACAACAAACAGTATTATACTGTATGAATAGTGATTAACTAATCTAAATATAAAATACACATAGTGCTTTAGTTATGGCTCGAAGGCCCATTACATGAAGTAGTGTCAAGACACTGACTCAAGATTATTTCCATTGTGGGAATGCTGATGTTTTTCCTATCTCAGAGTTTGATCTGATGCCAATGGAAAGAATAAACTGTTAAAGGAATAAGTGTAGCATTTCTTCTCCAGATAAAATTGCATAAAAAATATAATTCAGTGAAAGCAAACCATCTCAAAATGTTTACATGTACAGTAGCTAAAACAACTATCTGTGCATACTTCGTGGGAAACAATGAGACCATGGATGATAAATTTTGGTATATGAGGGCTGTCATTAGTCACATGTAAAATTTCGGAGCATATCGACCCCCACCAGCACAGATAGTTGTTTCAGCTACTTTACAGTGCAGTAAACTTACTGTTGGTGCCCACTACAAAACAAAAACCATGTACAGAAGAACGTCGATATAAAGCGATTCAATGTAAGATTATTAATTTAAAGCGACACCCACATTTAAGGACAATGTTTTAAATTAAAGAGAATCTTTCCTACTTTGCACGAGTCAATCTGGTGCATCATACTTTAAAATTCGCGCCTAATGCTTATATTGAAACTAAGCAGTATCTTATAAGAATTCCAGCAATGTTAATTATATTCTCCCAGGTCAGTTTAGTAACACTTTATAAGAGAAAAACTTAAAGTCACTCTTAAGGACAGATAAATAAATAAGCACTAGACCTTGGCATCGACTGTCAAACATATCACCTGACCCCCCCCCCATCAGCTGATCACTAGTAAACAGACCATTTCACATCCCTTAACCTTGACTGTTGATTTATGAGTGTTAGTCTTAGCATAATACTCCAAAAAACAATGTTTTGTTTATTCTAGGAGATGGGCTGAGGTGCATCTGGGTAGACTCTCAGTCTTTTTAGTATTTTGTGTTTCACTAAAGTACCAAACTAAATTATTCCATTGAAACAGCACTTCAATTTAGTGAGAATTCTTTTTAAAGAGACCTCTCTTGGAACGTATCTCATGCTATATCGACGTTCTACTGTGACTGGGAATCTCGTACAGGACTGTATCACAACCGGTGGTGCAGTTTATCAGTAACTTGTGTGTCTTTCTCCTTCAGCGCATGTATGTACTTCACTTTTTATGTTTATAATCAATGTACAGCAAAAAAAAAAAAAAAAAAAATATATATATATATATATATATATACAGTATATATAATTTGAACTTTTGTTTTTTTCATAGGCACATATCTCAGCTTTCGAATTGGAGAATGTTATCCAAATTATGAAAAATTTATTTATGAAAGCTTTTCGGGAAAATAACTCTTTCATGAATTGGAGAATTCATGTACCTTGTACAGCGGTATCCCTGTTAGCCGGAACTGGTGCAGAGCACTTCCGGGGATGAGAGATTTCCGGCTAACCAGACGACTTTCTCAAACCCAGAAAAGTTCCTTATCCCCGGAATAATTTCCGGTTACTGGGAAAAGTTTCCGAGTGTCTAAACTAGACATCTTGCACATGTAGACACTAGTCCACTTCCCCAGAGGTGCTGGGGATGTTTTCCTTGAGTCTAAACTACTAGAGTCTGTAAATGCAGTTCTAATAAGTTAGAAACTCCATTTATTTTCTATAATAATCCAGAATAGTTTATCTAAAAGTTTGGTAAATAAATATATTTGAAAATTAAAAATCTATATGATATGGGCGTGAATGAAACTGTGTTACAGCAAAGACTGGTATTTTCCACTCCCATGGAGTTGTGGGGATTAGAGGGTCTCGTGTACCTGACCTAAAGCAATGGCAGGTGGTGGTAGGGTGGGGGATTAGTGGTCTCATATTACTGACCTTCTGATGGAATGTCAGGTCACCCTTTCTTGGCCAGGGGGATTCGTGGGTCTCATGACCTAAAGATTGTAACAGCACCATTTGCATTATATACAGCCTCTCCTTGACTTACGACGGGGTTCCGTCCCAACGACCAGGTTGTAAGTCGAAAAGGCGAAAATAATACATAAAATTCTAAAATGAAATACAGCACAGCAAAAGTAATCAATAACGAAAATGAATAAAGTGTTACTGTGCACTTAACTTTAATGTAGTCAGCTGAATGCACACGGGGCCTCAATAATTTTTTAATTAAGCATGTAGACTACATTAATTGGATGAAGCAGAGGAGGAGACCGGGCTGGGTGGGTCATCAAGTTTGCTTTCTTCAGACAGGCTAACATACTTGCTTGTTGAAGGTATTGGATCATCTTTAGGGAGTGAAGAGGCAGCAGTGGTGGGGTGTGAGGAGACAGCAGTGGGGGACTTCTTAAAAAATATGTCCAATTTAGACTGCACAGTTTGCCTTTTCTTTTCATTGTAAATCTCCCTGTAGCAAGCAAGTGAATCTTGGATCAGTCTGTCAATTTCTGCAAAATGCTCAACATTTTGATCCATTTCTTCAAACATTTGCATCCCCTTATTAATAGTAACAAATGCCTCTGCCATTTGTTTCACTGAAAACGTTTTGGGGGGGTGCAGGTTCTTCTTTCAAATTGTCTCTCTCTTCTTCCTCTGTAATTTTCTGTGCGTCCAGTTCAATAAGATCCTCGTTACTTAGCTCTTCTGCTACACTTTCCACCAACTGCTCAACATCTTCATTATCAACTTCTAACTCCAGCTGTTGACCCATCTGCACTATCTTGTTACTAATCTCAGAAATTGCTTTATCTTCATTAAATCCTTTGAAACAGTTCACATATATTTTCAGGACCTTCTTCCAAATTCCATTCATGCACTGACCTGTAACCTCATCCCATGCTGCAGCTATGTTCTTTGTATATTGCAAAATGTTGTAGTCCTTCCAAAACCCTGAGCATTTTCTCACCTTCAGTAGCAGCAACAGCCTGAGTGAAGGTCGTACGTAAATAATACACTTTAAAAGCAACAATAGCACCTTGATCCATGGGTTGGATGATAGAGAAAATGTTAGGTGGAAGGTAGACTACCTTAACATCAGGGTGCAGATCGTCCAGGTGTGGTGGGTGTCCCGGAGCATTATCTAAAACTAATAAAATCTTGATAGCAACCCCTTGTTGCAGACAATACTCCTTGGCTCATGGAATGAAACAACTCAGGAACCAATCCTCAAACAGTGCTAGACCCTAGCTTTCTTATTACTGCGATAAAACACTGGCAGTGTGTGCTTGCTGACATTTTTAAAAGCCCTTGGGTTCTCTGAATGATATATCATGAAGGGTTTTACCTTGAAACCAGCTACATTCCCTCCCAACAGAAGTGTGATTCGGTTTTCGCCTCTTTGTGGATGTATGTCCGTTCTGGCAAATAATTTCCCTCCACAATGAAGCGATCTAACTCCTCTCCACTCACATTTACACTGTGCAAATTGTAACGTTTCTTAAACCTTTGGAACCACCCATGACTTGCTGTGAAGTTTAGGTCGCACTCATCTCCTGCCTGCTCTTCAGGCTTTCGAAAAGGCTTCTTGCCTTAGCCTGTATGGTTAGAAGGCTTAAGGGTACACGCTTTTGCAGCTGATCTTCCATCCACATCACAAGTAATTTCTCCATCTCATGAAGAGGACCTTGTCTTTTTTTCGTTAATATTGTTCCCTTTACAGGTGCTGATCCTTTCACTACCTCACGAATTCATTCCTTGTCCTTCAAAATTGTTGATATCGTCGAGTGAGAGAAGCCAAGGTCGCGTGAAATGGTTGCTACCATTTTTCCATTTTCATATTGCATTATTATTTTAATTTTCATCTCAAAAGTAATTGACTGTCTCTTTTTCTTCTCAGCCCCACGAGAACTCTCACTTTTACGCTTGCCAGCCATTTTAAAGGGAATTACAAACGAAAATTTTGTCAGTACACAGCGCGATCACTAACAACAACGACAGCCAAACAACAACTGAGCGGGCTACGGTGTGGATGCTGTACGCCACGAGGCGGCCCGGCCCACGATGTCGTACGGGGTCACATACGACCAAACGATTCGGGCCTCGAAAATACGTAATGTGAAAAGTATTTTATACGACCATGCCGGTCGTATGTCCGGGTTGTCTTAAGTCGAGGAGAGACTGTACTGGTACTCCTCATTTATGGCCTGGGTTACATTCCTGAAAACTTAAGCTATTAAAATTCGAGTACAACATAAATCTTCTCATACTATGACAAATGAGGAATATGATCTCTTTTACCTTCTTGCGGTATTCATGAACAACAGCCAGGTTTGGTTTGGACTGTGCCAACTTCTCCTCCAAGATGGTCAGTTGGTATTGAAGCTGCTTAGGGTCCAGCTCATCAAGAACCTCAGGTCCAAGGACAGCTAACTCAGCTTCATCCTCTTCCCCCTTGTTTATTGGAATGTCTGTCAACTCGAGACGATTCAACTGTGGTAAATGAAAGAATAGAACCTCACAGAAACATGCACATTAAAGAGAATGGTGAGAAAAATAAATAGTCTAATAACCTTAGACATCTCACTCTTGAATAATCTTCCATCCTTAGTGAATTAACAAAGCATAATGTAGCTTCCCTAAAGGAGCATGTATGTCCAATGTTATCTCTCTCTCTCTCTTTTTTTTACCAAATTTTTCATCCTACCATTCACTATAGCAAAGTTCACAATTGCCATAATTCACTCTAAACATTAATAAAAACAGGTTAATAATGCATGATAATAAGTCTGTATATTATCTTTGTATACATAATAATCAACTATTTACTGGAAAGTGAATTTTTTGATACAGGGGACACCACAATACTTCAAGTAGCAGTCTAAGGAGCACCAACCTGTTTCTTCCAATGGGACATCTTGGCCTTATTTTCCTTGATGATGCCTTCATACCTGTCCAGCTCTTGGTCAATTTCAATTTTGCTGGATTTTATCTTGTTTTCCTTTCTGACATATACTTCGTGCTCAGCCTTCAATTCACCAACCTTTTCTCCTAATTCTAATTCTTCATGCTGTCAAGAAAAATATATTCTGATGTTAGTTCTGACACTGGGAAAATTTACCCATGGATACTGTGTTTGATTTGGGGACTTGTTGTGAAGGGGGATTACCACAGCAGAAAACAGAGTATCACAACATAAGAACGAATAGTGTGTGTGTGTGTGTATAATAATAGAAATAATGAGTCACTTGATTGCCAAATAATATACAAGTAAAGTAAGTGATACAAATATGATATACAGGTATAATAAAAGTGGGGAGAAGGTGCTCTTAATCCTGGTCACCATATATTTAATTATATTTAATGGAGAAAAAGGCGAGATCAAATTCCCACTTTTTATAGGGATTTTCTCCAGCATGGTTTAATTTCTAATACAAAAAAAAAATGCTGTGAATGGGAGGGAGTGGGGGAGAGGAGTTAATTTGACATACTGTACATGATGAAACACTATTATTATATGGAAGTCTTTTCTTGTTCAGATCAGGACATTTTTTGCTCTAAAAAATTAATCCTTCTTTACCTTTGGATCAACCTATTTCACCTACTGTAATTCATGTGGTATCACCCTCTCAATACTCCACAGGCAAAGATTGGAGAACATCAGTTAAGGACAATTGTATTTCATGGATGACAGTAGCATGCTTGCCTTTCATCACTGTGGTTGTGCTTTCAATTCCCCGGAACGAAGAAGAGTGTTATTCAGTGTGACCCTGCCAACATAACAGGTTTTCTGACTACTCCAATCCCTTCTTCTATGATCACTGGACAACGAAGGTCATAACAAAGAGCAGGTGAATGCCCAAATTGCTAGTAAGCTGAAAAGTGGTGGTAATGCAGTGACCAATGCTATATATAAAATACAGGTACTGTATACAATAAAAAAATTAGCATTAAGTCTGTTGCTTTACAATAGGTGGCTCACCGTGACTGACTGTAACTGCTCCAGCACCTTCGCAGCCTCCTCCTCAATCACTGAACGCTTACCCTGCATACCTCGGAGTTCATTTTGTACCTCAGTGATTTCTGTCTCCATTCCTGTTATCTTCTCCCGAGTTTTTTTAGTGTTGCGTTGGGCAGTTTTAATAGCTACCTGGAGAATAAGAGGTAAAACTTAATTTTCTCTAAATTTTCTAAGGATCAATAAAAAGGAAACCATTAGGAAACAAACTCCCTAAAAAACAAAGTTGAACACTCACTTTACAGGGTGTTCCCGGGTTATGAACGGGTTCCGTTCCTGAGGACGCTCTTAAGTAGATTTGTACGTAAGTCGGAACATATGCTATGTGCATGCCGTACTTACTGAACAATTTATAAAATCCCACTACGTATATCATAGCCCTAAGTCCTTATATACATCTAAAATCACTTAATTTATGACAAAGAAGAAATAGAATGACACAATATAGTAAATGAAAGTAAAAAATAGTCGAGTAAATAAAATACTATAAATTTCAAGTTTAACTCCGCTCGTATAGGCAGACGTTCATAAGTCGGGGACACCCTGTATCTGGCTTCAAAAGGTATATTTCCTGAAAGATATAATTCTCAAGACAAAAATTTAATAGGGCTTGTACTGTAGACAAATGAAGAGAACAAGAAACTTCATTCTTTTACTACTTTATTACTTTAACAGTTTCAGTGGTAGTCAATAAAAACACTTTCACTAACAAGCATACAAATACACATCATGAATGCTACAAGCCCTCTGTATTTGAGTTGGAGGTACAGTAAATAAAGCTAAAAGGAATTACAGTACTGTACACTGAAGGTAAAACAGGGATGAAGTGAAGTTGCAGGAAAAATGTTGTTAGTACAGAAAAGAGAATGCAAAAAAAATGCAATGATCATGGTGTTGGAGAGTTTGCAAGGGTCACACATCAGATAAAAAGAGTATAATACCTGTATTGCAGACACAATTACTATACATGTATACTGTACAACCAGCTGACCTGGCTGCTGCTGTCTCCACCTGTAACCCATAAACTTCTGTGCTTACACAAGTCACTGCTAAGTTTTTCAGCTACAACATTAATGCTTAACTTCTTCCTCATTCACACAAAGAACACTCTACTGCTTGGGTCACTTATAAAAAATGCATAAATGTGATTTCCAAAAAGTTATATTAAAAATTCAATAGATTTTTAAGTTTTGCAATTACCCAGCCTGTTACCATTTGTTATGAAACAATCAGTGTACATAGCAAGAATTTTTTTATCTATACTATACTGTCAGTCAGTCTTATCTTTGTACCCATCTTTTCTGTGGATTTCAATCCTTATTCAGTATCTTATTTTGTTGTCCCTCCTATTATTTATTCTGAATTTATATTTATCATTATTTTTGTGCACCTCTTTTTTTATGACCATGTTTCTTTGTGGGTTTTGCAAGAATCATCTTGTTATTTGGAAATCTCTCATCCCTGGAAGAACTCTGCACCAATTGTTCTGGTGCTTCAGCTAATGGGGAAGTATTGAAGAATACCTAAGCAAAATCCTGTCTACTCTAACAATATCTCAATTGCAAGAGACAGGAAGCAGTTATGTTTGCAGGTGTAAGAGAATGTCATTACCAAAATTTATTAAATATTGTATGCATCTACAGTCCTATATCACTGGATCAAATAAAGCATTGCTGAAACCTATAGGACTGAAGAAAAACTGAACAAAATTATAATGTAAAACTTTCCTTATACCATATACAGTATACCTTACTGTAATATAATTTATGAAATTTCAAGCATAACGACTAAATTTGAAACTACAAACACAAGGCAATAAATTCAAATTTTACCAGCCAGCCACTCTCCTAACTTAGGATTTAACTGAAATAAAATTTCAAGAGACAGAAAAGATGTCTCATAGCATGTACAGTCAACAAAAATTTTTATGCACTCCTGGGTCTGACGGCCTTTGCAACAATTACTGACTGAGACCATGTTCATTTGGTAAGGTTGGTATTTCTGATTGTGTGATGCATTGTGTAACCAATATGATGTATTCTGCCTATCTTATGATACCTGTGTTGTTCAGAATTCTTAGTCTAGTGTGTCATATTGTATAGCAACATAAAGGTGCAGAATTTTTTGTTGACTACACCATAGGAAAATTAATGTTCTCTTTTCCCTTTTCAAGTGAGGAATCATAACAAATCAACAAAGATGGCAGAGAATTGAGCTCTAGAGGAAAGAAAAAATTCATTATACATATACACTTGTCAAAAAGTTCTCGAACAGCTGGGTACGACAGATTTCAGAATGAGCACTATGGCTCATGTCTTCTCAGAATGGTTGGTATGCCTGGTTGAGAAGTGACTCAATAATTTATTTAAAAAATATATATATACAGTGTATATATATATATATATATATATATATATATATATATATATATATATATATATATATATATATATATATATATATATATATATATATATATATATATATATATATATATATATATATATATATATATATATATATATATATATATATATATATATATATATATATATATATATATATATATAGTAAAAGTCCAAAAATCCGGATGCCAGAAATCCGGACCACCCAAGAATCCGGACTTTTCGAAAACTATTTTTTTTTTGGCTGTCAATTATATTATCCTAACTTTAATCTGAGGTATTATTTAATACTAAATGTTAAAATTTAGTTTTTCACCCAACATTTCTCTTGTAGGGAGGGTTGGTGGGGGGTGGGGGGGAGGGTTGGGATCGACCGACCATCTGGCGCGGTTGGAAGAGGGGGGGGGGAGGCAAGGTGGGGTACTTTGATTGACAGATAGTGTCGTGAAGAATATTTTTTATTTTAACTGAAGATATTTGTTTTAGCTCATAAAATTCATACAAATTACCCGGCCAGAATATAATTTACATTGCTGGAATTCTTACAATTTGATGATCATTTTGAATATAAACATCAAAGATTTTGCATTAGACATACAAATTTTAGATATAATGTTTACTCTGAGTAAATATTTTATCTTTTGTGCAAAATATATGACATTTATATTCAAAATATTCCTGGTCTTACAAGGAATCCAGCAATGTCAATTATATTATCCTAACTTTAGTTTGAGGTATTATTTATTAAAATCTAGTGGTTTTCCCCCCAAAATTTCTCAAGAGACGGAAGAGCCAGCAGTGTAGTGTGAGAAGAGGGGGAAGGAGTTGAGTCCATTATTTGAATGGACATTAACTTGGCGACTGTATTTCTCTTAAGTATTAATTGCGTGCATGTACCATCATAAAATTAAGATGTTATTTTTACTAGAACATAAGTATTGTCGGAAAAAGTAGAGTTTGGGGGTCGGGCCAGTCTCTATTGGAATTAATCCCATATGTTCTGTTGTTCACTTAATGCGGTGAAAAGGTTTTCACTTAACGCGGTACCCTGTGGGTTCAAGTGACCGCGTAAAGCGGGGTACAACTGTGTGTGTGTGAGTGTGTGTGTGTGTGTGTGTGTATATATATATATATATATATATATATATATATATATATATATATATATATATATATATATATATATATATATATATATATATATATATATATATATATATATATATATATATATATATATATATATATATATATATATATATATATATATATATATATATATATATATATATATATATATTTTGCATGACCCTTTAAAGCATCCAAGAACTTTTTATGGCAAATACTTTGTGTGAAACAATATGAGACCATGGACGCTAAAATTTTGGTATATGAGGGCTGTCAACAGTCACACGCAAAATTTCTGAGCATATTGATCCCCACCTGCACAGATAGATGTTTTAGCTACTGTACATGTACAGAAAGTCAGTTGCTACACCCTGACATATCCATACAGCTGAATATTTTTTTTTAATTGATTGGGGTGTAGCATCTGGCTTTTTGCACATAAATTATAAACTCTTTCCTCCAGTGTTAATGTCTCTCATCTTCATTATCTTAATGATTACTTCACCTAAAAAAAAGAGAATACAGTATTAATTATTACATGGTGTACAACTCATAAGGCACTCATACTATTATGAAAGCATCTTACGTAACAGTAAATAAATTGTTAAACAATAATATGACTAACCTGGAGTCTGGTAATCTCTGCAGTAAATTTCTCAAGGCCTTTGTTGACACTATCCAGAGAATTTTTGAGTCCTTTCATTCTTCGTCCAGTTATTTCCATAATCTGTTCATGAATTTTATTAACTTCTGCTTCCACTTCTTGGGCTGATGCTGATGCTTCGTGATAAATTTTTACCTTGCCATCAATGCACTTCTCTAACTTATTTATCTTTGCTGGATCTGATTTAACAGACTTAACCTTCTCTTCTTGATATAGCTTCTGCTCCTGAAATGACACAATTTGTTGTTGAGCTGCTTCAAACTCCATTTTAAACTTCTGAACATCCATATTCATGGAATTTAAATCCTTTGTCAACTGACGTATAGACAGCTCCAGGTCAGCGCGATCTCTACGAAGTTGTCCTGCACGTTGAGTCAGCTCATCTACTTTACTCTCGATGTGCTCCATTTCTCTGGGGTCCACATTTACAACAGTTGCTTGTTTACCCATACGGCCACGCAGAACTGACCTACCACCTCCACTCATGGTACCAGAAGGTTCTATTAGCTCTCCTTTTAATGTTACCACACGATGACGCACTCCTCCATAGGCAATACGTGAAGCCTGATCTAAGTTGTCAGCTACAAGAGTGTCCCTTAGTGCAAAATAGAAAGCTGTCTTTACTATATCATCTTTCATTCTTACTAAATCAAAGAGACGAGGTACATTTTCTGGGGTTTGCATTTGTCTCTCACACTGACTTTTCCATTTTTGCATCTTATCTAAAGCAATAAAAGTAGCTGTGCCAACATTGTTTCTCTTAAGGAAACTGATACACTTCTGACCAGTCTCAACTGAATCAACAACTATGTTATCTAGTGGCCCACAAGCAGTACTGATTGCAACATCATATTTTTCATCAATGCCACCCAAATCACCCAAGCGCCCAAAAACACCTGGAATGCTTCCATTTTGCTTTTGCTCCATAATAGCATCCATAACCCTGCCTTGAGATCGTGATGACTGCATTGCACTACGCGTCTCCTCAAGCTTTACTCTATGAGTTCTCAGCAACTCCTCAACCTTTTGCTGTTCAGGAATCAGACACTGATGTTTCTGCATGTCCTCTTTTAGTTGTTTATCACATCTTGGTATGCTGGCTTCAAGATTCTTTATCTCTCCTTTTCGAGTACTGATGGTATTCTGGGCCTGTTCTAGACTAGCAAGAACCTGTTCTAATTTATTTTTTTCATTTTGTTCTGTACTCTGGTATATGTCTAATTCTGACTGAGCAATATCAACCCCACTCTTAGCTTCATCAACTACTTTTCTAAGGTCAACAAGTTTTGTTTCAAACTTAGTTTTTTCATCCTGCAACAGTTGGGTTTCAGAGTTGAGGGAGGACATGGCTTTGTGATATACTGCCTCTTCCTTTTTTCTTTTCTCCTCCAGAGATTCTCTTTGTTTTTGGCACTCCTCAATATCTTTTTCATTTTTTTCTGGTATTTCCTCCAGCTCTTCCAATTTCTTTTTTTCTGTTATTAGTTGACTCATCAGTTTCTTTCTCTTTTGATTCTTGTGCTTAAGATCTTCTTGCATTTTAACATCTTCACTCTCCAAGCCTTTAAATTTTTCTGAGCACTCCTCCTTTACTTTGCTAATTTTCTCTAATCTTTTCCCCAATGACTTTATTCCTTCCTCTTTCTCTTTCTTCTTTTCATTGAGGTCCTCTAGCTTTTTCTTCACACCACTCATACCATCATCAATTTCCTTCTTTTTTTCCTCGGCCTTTTCTTTTGCCCGAGAACAGTCTAAATAGTAACGCTGCAAAAGTGTATGTCTCTTACGCGTTACTTCATTTTCCAGTCTCAAATGTTCTATTGCTGTGTCTTTGGGTCCTTCTAACTCGTCCTTTTCCTTCTCAACTAATTTTACTCTGTTCAATTTCTCTCCTCGTGCTTCATTTAAATCTTCTACTCTCTTACATAACAATTCTATGGGCTCTTTGAATCTTGATGATCCAACTATGTCCTCCAGAAACTCTAGCATGCCAGTGTCATGATCTGTGAGGGCTTTAGGCTTCATCGTGGCAATCTGTTCCACCTCACCTTGAAGAATGAGGAATCGATTGTGGTCCAAGTCAATCCCATAAGCTCTAAGTTCTTTTGAAACAGCCTTAAACTGGCATCTCTTTCCATCCATCTGGTAAAATGAGGTGTTATCACGAAAAGCAGTGCGGGACACAACAAACTGGGAATTAGGTACAACTTCGAAATCTTCTTCATCCTTGTCGATGATCTTTTGAAAATAAACAGCAACTGTACAGCTCTGAACGTTCTGATGCTTCTCTGAATTGTGAATCAAAACAGATATTTTCTTAGAACGAATTTTTTGTGCACGGTAGCCAAAGACGAAAAGCATGGAATCGATAACATTGCTCTTGCCACTTCCATTTGGCCCAACAATAGAAGTGAAGCTCTTGTGAAATGGTCCCAGAACCTGCAAGAGATTGAAGAAATTGAAAAATCTGGAGAGTTAAAACAAAAAATTATGCTTTGTTATGGATGACTCATTTTACCAGCCTCATGTCTCTGATAGTTTCCATCAATATGGTTTTTATGAAAAAGCACAATTAACAAACCCCATAACCTTTTACTGTACTTTACACAGATAAAGTTTTGAGGTTGTTAGTGGCTAATCAATATGGTAAGTTGGGTTATTGTTGTTAAAAAAAAAAATAAATAAATAAATAAATAAATACAGTACTTGGAATTCATATAGCAATTACAAAGTTCCTTGCAAAAAAACAAACGAGAAATCTCAACATGTTTTGAGTTAATGATCTTACCTCACACTTGGTACTAATACAGAGTACAGTATGCATAGCTATACGAACTTGAAAATAAAAGAGAAATATACGGCCATTAAATGTTCAACAGAGGGGCAAGCATCACTATAAAAGTTGGCCGGTACTGTATAAAATACTGTAGAAGCAATCATTTAAACATCCAAACACCAAGAGAGACAGTGCCCATCATCATGAAAATAAAACTTTCCAGAGTGACAGACAGATATGACTATTGTATCTTCTCCATTTTCACAGTGAGAGAAAATAAACACTGTGAATCACAACTTTAGTGTTTTTAAAGAATAAATAAATAAAATGATTCCGGCAAAGACTTACTAGATGTACAAGAGCAAATAAATGCACAACAAAATTATACACATACAGTACAGTTCAGTATTGTACAGGGGGTCCCCGGGTTACGAATGGGCTCCGTTCCTGAGGACTTTCTGAAGCCGGAACGCATGCTATACGCGTACTGTACTTACAGAACAATATTTAAAATTCCACTATATCATAGCCTAAGTCCTTATATAGTACATCTAAAATAACATAATTTAAAACAAAAGAAGAAACAGAATGACAAAATATAGACAATGAACATAAAAAATAAGTTACCAGGTAAATAAAATACTGTAAATTTCAAGTGTTCGTATCGGCGGGCATTCGTAAGTCAGGGAGCCCCTGTATAGTACAGTACAGGTATACTATACAATTGAGGCAGGAGGAACATAAATCAAACTACAGTACAGTATATACACAGAGTTGTAAAATATACCAGACTTTGTTATATTGGCAAAACGTTACTCAAGTAGTAGTAAAAGTATCCAAAGTTCAATGTATTCAAGTAGAAGTAAAAAAGTATCTCATTCATAAAGTAATCAAGTACTGAGAGTAAAAAGTAAAAGAAAATTTTGTCGCAAATAATCAAATAAATCCACAGTAAATTATAAAAAACTGGTTAACTAAAGATAAAAATAAAAGACAGCATTACACATGTTTATTTGCAAATTTTTCTATTGAGATTAATCACTAACTGATTCTTGAAAATATGGCTGTCAAATCAGGTTCTTTTTGGCTTAAATATAAGCCTAGCCTGACTTACCGAAAGCGAATAGGTTCAGCCGCTCTTCTCCCTACAATCCATCACAGGGACAGTGAACGGGCTAAAAATATATCCATCCAACACCATGATCACTTTCTTCCTTATCCACACAAGTATCATAAACGTGGTCTGCGTAAATAATGTCTCTGCTCCCATTATGTTAAGATACAGACCTACCGGGTATCTGGCAAGTATCTGAGGAGGGGGATGACACGCACTTCTCTTCCTGTAAAGTCTGTAATTTTACCAACGCTAACACCCTTCAAAATTATTGCACTGACTGTCCCACTGTCAGGGAACCCCTACACTGGACGAGTCACTAACCAGTATATGTCACTACCTATTTATTCGTAATAATTTAGATTTAATTCTTGTAATCTACCTACGCTTTGGTGGATGCTAACTTCAATTGTCCATAAATCATATCAACACTGTCTCCATATCACAAGTCATAGCGTGTCCTGTGAGACATGAGTACCAATGTATTAGTGTCTGACCGCATGGTCTTGTGACTAGGTGTCACCCCCTGGGGTGTAATAAATTAATCAAATAATAAGCCCAGCATGACTAAACAGATGATTAAAATCAGCAGAGGCAGGTAGTGGGGTGTTAAGCTTCATTACATCCTCTAGACATGCCAAGTAGCTATCAAGTTCCTTCAGCTGAGTAGTTTGTGGATGAATGTTGCCTCGATAGTGACCTAATCTGACTAAGAATCACTGTGAACTGTTTCTCTAATTGGGGTGTGGCTGTGATGACATCACTTTTTGATTCTAATTGATGAGTGGCTGAATTTCCATGTAACATCTGGCAGGTGTTAGGAAGAAGGGGGTAGTGGCGCTTAGTTATCTAAGCAGAATTTTAAATACACTGTCTCACACATATGTATAGATACCTGCTTTATATCTAAGCCCGGGTTACGGAATTTCGCATTTACAGAATTTGTAAATTATGACCAATAATTTCGCGTTACGGCCCATAAATCCGCCCTTACGGAAATTGGGGTAAATTTTAACAAACACAAGGCCTCACACATGCCATTCAGACTGACAGACTTGACAAGTTTTACCAACCATAAAGACAGTTGAAGCTTTAAACATCACTCACAATGGATCTTGAATATTCCAACTGTAATCAGACATACCTAAGTTGCCTCAACAATTGCAACCCCAGTTGCAATATCAAATTCTGTGTCACCACTAAAAAATAATACAGTAGTCCCTGGTGCACTCTTAAGATTAAGAGAAAATGGATGACTCAGGCGGCCTTGAAGTGAGAGAAAACGGACTCCTATGATGGGGCACTCAAATAAACATACACATAGCTGTATAATGCAGTATTATGCAATATTAACCCCTAAATTGGTGTTTTAAGAAGGTATATTATAAATTATTTAATGTACTGTATTGTATGTGTTTATAAATGTTTATTTTCATTAATAAAAGTGCTTGAATTACTTTTTTGGGGCCGAAAAAATTCCTTAGGAACGCATCTCCAGTTTAATAATGGAAGTCAATGGGAAAATAGGTTTCGCGTCACGGAATTTCGCGATACGGTCAATTTTCCGGGAACGGAACCCTTCCGTAACGCGGAGAATGCCTGTACATGTATATGCAAAGAGCAACTGATGTCTAATGGGAAGACCAAGCCTCTGAAGGAAAGGTGGGGGAGAAGAGATGGGATTCGATGGGGGAGGAGGGGGGGGGGGATAAGAGGGTAGGCTAGGTAAGGTGGGTGGTCAAGGTGCTAATGGACACAAGAAGGTCAAAGGGAAAGTCTGCTGTCATGGCCACTGCCACCTGACCTGACGTCACCTCACCTCTAGGTATGTGACTGTGTGGTGTCTCCCCACACCATACCCTTCATGACTCCACCCGCACAACTCTTTTACTATGGTTAATAATTAATAAATTTAAAAATCATATTACTAGTTTGTATGTAACAAGTAACGATTTTTGTTTTTCAATCGTATTGGAGTAAAAGTATTAGAAAACCATACTTAATTAAAAGCACAAAAAATTGAGTTATTTTTAAAAAGTAAAACTACACAAAAATGTTACTTGAGTACAGTACTCAAGTAAATTTATTTAGTTACTTAACAACTTGTGTATACAGTACTGTATATTAATATTTCCTTACCTGTTTACCCGCATAGCTTTTAAAAAAAAAATTCTCAATATGTGTAATGACCAGTCTGGGCCCTGTGCTGTCAAAGGTACAAGCCGGGAGTGGAGGAGGAGGTAGGTAGATGTCGCCTATACGGATTCCCCTTTCCTCATCTTCATCACCCTCTTCCATTTCTACATCTTCAACAGCATCCTTTTCTGATTCTGTTTCCTTTTCTTTCTCTTTTTCCTTTTCTTTACTTTTCCTCTTGTTGGGTGGCATGATGGAGCTACACTTGACCTGTTGACATACAGAGAAGAGGATGGTTAGCTTAAAAAAAAAATAAACATATAATAATAAAAAAAAAAAGATTAAAGGTAGTTAAGTGTAGACATGTGTGTGGGTCGGCAGGTTTCAACAGGGCGATATATGTGATTCATGAAGACCCCCATTTAACTAGCTAGAATAGGTTTATTGTTTTGAAGTGTAATTTGTTCAATAAATGAAGAACCGTTAAAGAGTGTCACCAGTTCCCCCCTTCTTTGTATTGAGTAAAACATTTGTCATACATGTCTTGGTGGTAAACAGTGACCCAGGAGTAATAACACCTATCACCAGTGTCCCCTAGTGTCTCAGTTACTGCATCTTATCCCTATTCCCAGTTATCCCATCCTTCCTTAGTCTCCCTTCATATCGGTTACCCTCTGGTGGTTGTGGTGGTGGTGGGTGGTGGTGGTGGTGGTGGGTGGGTGTGTGTGTGTGTGGGTGGGTGGGTGTGTGTGTGTGTGTGTGTGTGTGTGTGGGTGTGTGTGTGTGTGTGTGGGTGTGTGTGGGTGGGTGTGTGTGTGTGGGTGTGTGTGTGTGTGTTTGTGTGTGTGTTTGTGTGTGTGTGTGTTTGTGTGTGTGTGTGTTTGTGTGTGTGTGTGTGTGTGTGTGTGTGGGGGAGGTGACCACAGGCAAACAAACTCCCACCTCCCTCAACCACAGGCCCATCTCCCCCCCCCCTCTCTCTCTCTCTGTGTCTCACTCCTTCCTCACCTTCCCTCTCTCTCATGAGTATAAAGAAAGAAATAAGAACAAAGAACGAAAGTAAAAGTAAGCAAATAAAGAAAGAAAAAGTAAGCAAATAAAGAAATAAAAAGTAAGCAAATAAAGAAAGTAAAAGCAAGCAAATAAATAGAGAAACAAGAAATAAGAAAAAGATAAAATAAAAGGGAACAATAACAATGTTACAAGGAAATGCAATGAAAAGAGTGGCACCAAGGGGAAAAAAGTGCATCTATAGGTTCCACAACTGTAAACTACAGAGCATCATGGTTCTAAACAATTATCAAGGTGTTGACCTTCACAAAGTGCATTACTGTACTGTACTTTCTTTGCTTGGTGTCTTTCTTAAATATTTTAGTGCTGTAGTAGGCAGGGCATGGAAGAGGAGGGAAATTATGGGGTAAAACCTGTCAAAAAAAAAAAAGATCATATGGCAGTGATTTCATGTTTCTATGTGCTTTGTAGACGAAAATAAAAAACTTACCGGAAATATTCTAACAATATTTCTTCTGTGGCATCATACGTTCACACCCCCTCTTACAACTATAAAAATGTGATTCCAATCTTTGTAAACATTTACAAGTAATAACTGAGCCTCACATCAGGGGTTAAACAGTAGAACGTCGATTTAAAGCGATTCAATTTAAGATTATTGATTTAAAGCGACACCCACAATTAAGGACAATGTTTTAATTTAAGGCAAATCTTTCCTATTTTGTGCGAGTCAATCTGGTGCGTCATATTTTAAAATTCTCGCCTCATGTTTCTCTGGGCACGCTACACAGTCCTAGGGGCAAAGCTGTACTGTACATGTACTCAAAATAATGTACTAAATGATTACTAACATTCTTGTCTAGTGCAAACTATAGCATGATTATATTCAAATTAATCACTATCTTATAAGAATTCCAGCAATGTAAATTATATTCTCCCTGGTCACTTCTGTGACATTTTATAAGCAAAAAACAAACACTCAATCTAAACAACATAAATAAACAAATAAATAATTCATTAGACCTTTGGCCCCCAACTGTCAAACATATCATTGTCACCCCCCCCCTTCCTAGCTCCCTCCCTCCCCATCTTCCCAGCCAGGGTTTGGTGGTTATAGGCTTACAGTTCTTATCTTAAAAAAAAAAATAAAAATAATATATATATATATATATATATATATATATATATATATATATATATATATATATATATATATATATATATATATATATATAATCTCTCTCTCTCTCTCAGACTAAAGTTCGAACATAATTTGCATTGCGAAAATCCTTGAAGACAGCGAATAATTTGAATATAAACGTCATATACAGTATTTTGCACAAGAGATAAAAATTTTAGCCCGTCGCAATAAAATTAATTAGAACATGTCAGTTCAGTGACATTTTATAAGAAAAACTGAAAGGCACTCTTAAGGACAGATAAATAAATAAGTACTAGACCTTGTCATCAACTGTCAAACATATCACCTCACCCACGTCCCACAATTTTAGCTGTGTTGATTTATGAGTGTTTGTTTTAACATAATACAGTACAAAAAACAATGTTTTGTTTATTCTGGGAGATGGGCTGAGGTGTATCGAGGTAGACTATTAGTCTTTAGTATTTTGTGTTTCTCTCAAGTACCAAACTAAATTATTCCATTGAAACAACTCTTCGATTTAGTGTGAATTTGGTTTAAAGCGACCTCTCTTGGAACATATCTCATGTAATATTGACAGTCTACTGTATTACCATAAATATTGGCTTGGTTATCTTTGTTTTCAAATTTATAGGTTTTACAGTACTTTCCTGGCTGTCTTCTTTATGGGCTGCACAATTCCCATTTGTTTTTCTTTTTCATAAGGTTTTTGAGCCTATTCTACATAAAAAGGATGAGATTCATATACAGCAGTTGGATTTGAATCCCATATTATGGATTTGGATACAGTTTAAATTTTTTTTTAGTAGCACTGGATTCTAAGTGAACTGTATGTTCCTATACTGTACTTATTGTTCTTTTCCAAGGGACGAGACAAGCTAGCCATCTTGCATTTTAACTATGTAGTTATGGCATCCCGTGCAGGTTGTTCTTTGTCGTATAGCAAGTTATCTGTTTGTGGAGGATGAAGATTGTCCCCAAAAGATCACCTGTCAACATGAACTAATTGGCAGGAAATGCAAGCATTCGAAATGCGACAGAGAAGTGACAGTGAACTAGAAATATGTTTCAATGCAATAACTGATTGGACAGTATACTCTTACATCCACAAAAGGGCAAATTTGCATTTGTTGCCACCAACCAAAACTCAGGAATTTTATCTTTGCAATCAACAGTCGAGAGACTAGACAATTCTAAGACATATTTCTTCTATGATATTTCCCTCGCAAACAACCTAATCTAACCTCCTAATGGCGGGATTCAGCCACCTGGACCCCTCTGCATATTATAGTCACTTGAGAGGGAAACATCATAGTAGAAAAGTTTTTAAATTTGCATAAGAGGGCTTAATTCCAACCTATATTGTGCAATATTTTGGTAACCGTTCATTTCTGAGACGGAAATGCCATTAAAGAAAAGTGCCTTAGAATAGTCTGAACTATGTGAACTTTTTAATTAAGAAATTGAGTTGGGCCCACTAATGCAATAATACCAAAAGGTTTCTTAGAATTATCTAAACTATTCATTGCAAAGCAAAAATTCTTTGAGATTCGGTTGGTGGCAACAAATGCAATAACACTCACAAGACATAAAATTACACAATGCCACTTAAGAATGGTGCTTTCGTTGGATATTAAGGGGTAATTTATGAGGAAACTGCTACCACCAGAAGTTCTTGTTCAATTTTGTTAAATGTTCTAGATGTTCTTATAATTATAGGAAGTATTTTAAAAGAAGCAACAACTTTTTATTTTAATTATAAGGATTTTTTTTTTTTAGGTTTTCAACCATCTACAATCATAAATCAACTGTAGTGGGCAGGGCATGAAGGATGTGCCAGTCCCTTCATCCATACAGGTCCCTAACGCAGCCTAGGCCGTGTCTGTAGAGTGGATGTTGTATCCACTATGTCTGGGGAGATGTCTGAGGTCCAGTAGGATCAGTTACCTTCGTGAGACCCGGCCGTCAGACACTTCAGACTACCTATGGCCCCCATAGCTGGCTCGTCTGGCCCTAACGCTCGGCCTGCGAGGTGACCCCGGATCACCAAGCCACACACCACTACCAGCCCCCATCATTGGTGGATGAGTGTCAAACTCAGTAGGGCTATTTGTGTGGTGGGATTAATCCACTGGGATCTTCAGAGTTCGTCGGAAAGTACCCCATGGTGGCTGGACCCCATGGCTGTTGCTTGAGTATCACTCCTGACAACTGAGTGTTGTAGTGGCAGTTGCCCTGGTCTTTATGGTGCTAAGTGACTATAAGAGTTAAGTGTTATTGAGTATGTCCACCCAGTAGGGTTGGGAGTGTTATTGAGTATGTCCACCCAGTAGTGGTGTGAGTATGTTGAGCCTGAGGGCATAGTACCAGATTTCATCTGTTGGTACATATATATATTCTTTCTCCTACTTCCATATTGTTTAAATAAATTTTGTATTTGTATATTGTGTCTATTATTTACCTACAGTATTTACCGTTCTTTCTTCCCTATTGCTTGATACTATCATTACATCTACCCACGAGCCTCCTCTCGTCACGCTACCAATGGTAATAAGTATGAGAGTAAAAGGAATTGTTACTGACACACAGGCCCTTATAAAATGGTGGCAGCTCAGGCCCTCATAAAGAGTGCGGGGAGATATGATAGAAGTATTTAAGTGGGTGAAAGGAATCAATAAAGGGGATATAGATAAAGTTCTTATAATATCCGAGCAGGATAGGACTCGGAGCAACGGATTCAAGTTGGATTAGTTTAGGTTTAGGAGGGAGATAGGAAGAAACTGGTTCACAAATAGGGTGGTGGACGAGTGGAACAAGCTTAGCAACTTTGTAGTAAGTGAGGGAACTATGGAAAGTTTCAAAAGGAGCCTAGATAGATTCATGGATGATAGAGAGTGGTAGTAACTCTCGACAGGAGCTGCCATGCACAGGCCAACCGGCCTATTGCAGACTCCTTATTTTCTTATGTTCTTATGTTCTTAAATGGTGGCAGCTCAGGCCCTCATAGTTTAATATACAGGGGGTCCAAATTAGGAAAGGTAAGGTAGCTTTGTTTGGTTAAGTTGGTGATGTCTGATTTTCATGCCCACTGAGGTTAGGCTAGGTTTAATTTAGAAATAACCACTTTTTAACACATTTGCACAAACTACAACAGTGTCCACGGTAAAAAACTGTGAAATTGCTGCAGTTTTAAAGTCGTTTTCTATGAAAAGTCGGCCGTGGGTCAGTCGTCAATAAGTACCAGGTCAGGTTACATTAGGTTCTAGTAAACACCATCTCTTTTAAAATACTTACTACAATGATAAGAAAATATGTGAACAATGAATGAAATCGAACAACTCCTAGTGGTAGCAATGTTTCCATATATTACCATATTAAAGATATTAATATTAAGTAGGTTTAGTTGGGTTGGGTTGCTTTGGTCAGGTTCTGTGCATTGTCATTTCCATTTTCTTGTTTATTATCATGCAAATATCATCTCCATAAATTTTGGTGCAATTCCATAATTATTTTCTACTGCAAACCGTCTCTTCCACCATTACACAATAATTTACGTATATTCTATCTGATGTATTAATAAAAAACTACTACCGTAAACTACACTCCCCGACTTGGGGGCATCTAACGGTCCGACTAATTACCCAAATGTAGCCGCAATGAAGTCAAATAATGGTCCTACATGAATAAATCGGACTGCCAATCACTTCTCGACTAGTATTTGGTGTCACAAAGTCACAAAAAATTGGAAAACTTACTTTAATCTGAGTTAATAGATCGCGTGCATGTACCGAGGGAGCGAGTAATTACCCAAATGTAGTCGCAATGAAGTCAAATAATGGTCCTACATGAATAAATCGGGCTGTGAATCACGTCTCGATTACTATTTGGTGTCATAAAGTCACAAAAAATTGGTAAACTTAATTTAATCTGAGTTGTGTTAGGTTAGGTTAGGTACATGCACTCGATCTATTAACTCAGATTAAATTAAGTTTACCAATTTTTTGTGACATTATGACACCAAATACCAGTCGAGAGGTGATTGGCAGTCCGATTTATTCATGTAGGACCATTATTTGACTTAATTGCGGCTACATTTGGGTAATTAATACTACTATCAATATTAAACTGCTGTGTACGAAAGTGAATCTTGTAAGCAGCAGTTCACGAGAGCCGTAGCATTTATTGAGATCATTTTCACAACACAATGAGAGATATGGAGCTATAGTAAATATTATCCTCAAACCCTATTATAGAATAAACTCAAAGCTAAAGACAATAGACTAAATACTGTACACCCTGAGTCTTCATCAACACAACACTATATTACTGAAGCCTAGCACTTTTATGTTAATCGTATCAACCTGTAGATCAATCAATAACTTATAACTAAAATTCCATAACGAAGATACAAAATTACAGAAAGCTTACCCAGTAATTAACGCTGATATAAATAAAGAGAGTTCACTTTTGGCGCCCGATGCTCCACACACTGCACCAGTCCTAACCTTACAACATATTCCTGATAACAAATGTGAACGTAAATAAACAGTCTTTTACGGATTATTAATTCAATCAAATTTTATATATTTGATTACCATCTGTATATATTAAACTTTTAGATGAATTTTTATAGCTTCAAAATGTATATTAGAGACTTGAAAAATATATAATAATGGGTGATAACAACTGTTGGTACATTCAAAGGTTTTGTCCGCGGGAACGAGGAATGAACCACTTCCATTTTAATCAGGAATTTGTAATTTTATTGTTTTCCTTCAACTAATAAGGTTATTTGCACCGTTTTTATTCTTAATTTAAATTCTTGTGATTATATATAGCGTTATGGACAACTAATATTATAAAACTGTAATGAATGTGGTATCGGTTCGGGGCTAACTAGCATGTCTCTCACTATAATGTCCCGCGTTCGATCTTCATATCATGTCAGATCATGCCAAACATCAAAACCTTTCTCCGTGTCCTCGATTTTCGTCCTGCCTGCAATGATACTGAACAATGAAGGCCGTGATGTAGCAACAAAGAACAGGTCGAACGGCAAGGAAGCTGATAAATGGTATAATATCCTTCTCGACTAAGCTTGACTCCCTATACCCTGTGGGGTTCAAGATGTTTCCACTACAACCCCAATTCCAATTTTTCGTTCGTATATTTGCTTAAATAATGAAGACAATTACATCAATGAATTAGCAACTCAACTACAACCTCAGCTGCTACAAGATTCTCACATAAAATTTCCTTCTTCATTTAAGCAAATATGCGAACATTTGAAAACTTCTCATGATCTTAAATAATGATGATTAGTTTATCATTATAAAAATGCTACCTTTGGGTTGTTTAATATTTATCCTGACAGTGATACAGTCGAAAATAGATCCACCAATCACAGTCACCATTACATACAGCCTTACTTTACCAAGAGTTTGCAAGTAAAATCGCGAGTACGAGATCCACTGTGGGGTCAGAGCATCTTTGGTTGGCTGTATATACCTGGAGCTGGCAGCCGCCCACCCCACAAGGGGTAACAGTTCCAAGTTGACGAAGCCACAAGTCAAGAAAACTGTGAGGGCAAACCTTTTTGGAGTGAGAATTGTGAACTCTTGGAACAACCTGCCAGAGAGTGTTTTGATGGCACCAAGTGTGAGCTCTTTCAAGGCCAACACTGGCGCAGGTACAGATACATTCAAGAGCCAGTACATGCCCAGTACTTCTCAACAGTGCATAACAGAGACGTTACCGCCAGCCCAAGTGGCTAACGAGCCGATCAATGGCGAAGAGGATAAAAGCAAAACAATGACAGATAGGACCCACAAACTTGTGAATTGAGGTTTGCATGATTTCCATTGCAATAATTCCGCTTATTGCTCGCAGCTTGCCTCTACTCCACACCCCTCTTAACCTTGGTATTCTTCAAACTGATTTATACATTTAAGATAATTGTTTTTAATGTCATTTACATTTTTCTGTTTACTACACACGTCACTTCAGTATTTTATTCCACTACCACTCACTACTTTATCCCTTTATCCTTTACACAGCCTGGTACTCTGTAGCCGCATATTTGTTTGTTAGTTGCATTGTTAGTAAGTACTGGCTCCAGAATGTATTTGTACCTGCTGACACTCGGTGTCGGCAGGTTATTCCAGGAGTTCACAATACTTAACTCCAAATAAGTTCGCTCTGACAAGTTTCTGTGCTTGTTCTTTAACCCGAGGAGTGATTTCTATTAGGGCGGATGTTAGCTCCAAATATTAACACCTACCGTAAAAATGTTCTCGAAGGTTCTTATAAACTTCTCAAATCACCCCTTGTCTGCCTATAACATAAGCCAGGCAACTGCAGGCGTTCTGATCTCTCATCATACCTAAGGTACTAGAGTGCAGGCACCAGTCTGATGGCCTTCTTTTGGATGTTCTCAATCAACTGACAGTCTCTAGCTAACACATCTTGGGGAGAACCTCACTGTTGAAGAGCGTTATGAGGGACAGACCGTCTAGGTACTGTACGTGAACGATCTTCATAAGTCCTAATAATTTATTTACTTGATTTACCTCCTCAGAATTACCCAAGAAATTCAGTTCGTTGTCAACATAAAAATCTAGATCCTTTTCACATTTGGTCTCAGTTAATGAATTTTTTCTCGTCACGTTGGGACATATGATCCGCCTTTTTACTATCGGTACGTTCTATAGGTGCATCTTCTTGCATTTTGTGACGCTGGATCTTACTGTAACGTTTCACAGTCGTTTCTGTTCTTAGTTTCTATGACTAACTTAAGAGTCGTCAGCATGGAGGAATGAAAGAATAATCCTTCGCTTCTGAGATGTGCCAGATTAGTCTGCATTCCAGCTTAATGCGAGCCATAAGTGCGCGTCAATGATACTTATATAAAAAGGAAATAAACTTTTTATTGTGTTGGATGAATAGACTACTAGGTCTTTCCTTATTCCTACGATGGGTTGTACGAAGAGCAGCAGGACGTACAGTATTCCCTCTACAGTATGTATCTCGGAAGGGCGGGTGTAAGTCCACCCCAGGCATTCTTAGTGAGAGTAGACAATACTTTTGTGTATTAAACCAATATGAGGTATAATCCACCGGAAATGTATGACAACAGAGTTCTAAATCCTGAAGGATAGATTATGAATCACATATAATCACACCGTTCAATCTCCCCTGGAGGAAAGGGTCAACACCGTTAACTGCATCCAAGAGGCTATAAAATTCACTATAGGTAGTGCTCGACTAATTTGGAAGCCTGTGGCCGACCCAACCTCCTGCTGGCAGGTCAACATCGATCGAGAAAAAAAAGCGCACCCAAACGTCCTGCAGGGAGCCGCCGGTGTAAAGATAATATACGGCACGGAATGAAGAAGAGACTGTCTATAGACTGGAGAGCCGGTTGTTTCTGAAGGAAATGTGAGTACTCCTTTGAGTTGTGAGTGAAGGATATTACTGAAGAAGGAATCCTCCAGTCTTCCAGGATAAAGGACTCTAATCAACGTCGGTAACAGGCATACTGATATTGAGGTTTTGTGGTGTAGAACAAATTATTTTAATAAAGGCAACACTACCAGAACGAAGTCAAGGCCGTAATGCATTAGGAATGAGGAAGGTTCTGAGGACGTGAGAATAGCGAGTGGCAAAACACTGAAGTAGGAGACATTTAGAACATGGGAAAGCTTAACACAGATGGTATAGTATTTCAAAGATGCAAATATTAAGCTGAAATATTAGGGAACAATATTTTTTGTTCCTGTTACTTTTATCCTCTTCACCACTGATCGGCTCGTTAGCCGCTTGGGCGATCGGTCACGTCTCTGTTACGCACTGTTGGCAAGTACTGGGCATGCACCGGCTCCTGAATGTACCTGAACCTGCTCCAGTGTTGGTCAAGTCTGGTCTTGAAAGAGCTCACACTCGGTGCCGTCACAACACTTTCTGGTAGATTGTTCCAAGAGTTCACAACTCTCACTCCGAAAAAGTTTGCCCTCACAGTTTTCTGGACTTACGGCTTCTTCAATCTTGAGCTGTGACCCCTTGTAGGGCGAGCGTCCGCCAGCTCCAAGTAAGGACACTCGACTGAGCAATGCCCCTTGAAATGCTTATTACACCTCAATTAAGTCACCCCTTGCCCGTCTGTATTATAAGATAGGAAAGTTCAGGCGCTCAATCTCTCAGGGTAGCTGAGGTGTCGAAGTGCAGGCACCAGCCTGGTGGCCTCCTTTGAACATTTTCAACCAACTGACAGTCCCTAGCATATCTCGGGGACCAGCACTTACGCCTTGGAAGTTCTGAACTTCTCATTGGTCAGCTAATCAGACAATAAGATGGCATAGTTCGGGAGGAGGGGGTACTTGTTTCTTCCAGAGAGCGCCGGGTTAAATATATGTCACATTACAAGGTTGAAGGGCTATTGCTCCGGAGTTGCAAAAATATACGCTACAAATACGACGTTATCACGCAACTACAGACAGAAGGCAGGAATACGTTTCTTTGTTAGAAGTAACTTTCATGAGAACTTACCAATGAATCGAACGGGTTTAAATTCATGACCGAAGGAGGTATTATTTCCCGCCTCCTGTTTTACCGGCCATATGTACTGTATATGTATTGTACAGTTTGTCGTTGCGAGTTGGGAAGGGAAGCCAGGCGCTATGTATTGCTTGTGCTGGCACTGTTAAAGGGTATGGGGAAAGGATAGGATTAAATTGTTTATTCCTCACCATGACGATGCCAAATTTATGGCAAATGGTCTGATGAATAATGAAACACATACCATTGTACACTTTGGAAAAACTGTACCACAATTACAGTGTCGTGTACCACTGATAGAAAAATACAGGTTTAAAACAAAAAAGCACATATGAAATTATGGATATAGACATTTTAATGTCCACACGAGGCACAGTCGGGTTGCAGACAGTAATTAGAAAGAATTAACTAAACCAAACCTAACCTGCTTAAACTATCTTTTGTTGGGTTAGGTACGCCCGGAGTTTTAATCAACATCCGTTGACGGGGTAGGGGTCGTCGTTTATACCAAGGTCTATAGAATTCTACAGATCTTGGTGTCTACAACCATGGTTTTAAACGCGAAGGACCCCCCGTACTGCAGCGCACGACGGAAAGGGGCGGTGGAAAAACGAACTAATATTATTGGAATTTGAAGGTGTGGCTAGTAGCTGATCTTCGTTACCCTCTCCATTATTGTTTTGTTTGTTTTATCGGATATTTAAGGCAAATACGATTTATGAATAAGGGCAAACACAATGTTAATTTTACATACTTTTTTTTACATTAATGTTTTTACAGACAACATTATGACATTTCCAAGAGACTTGTGTTTTGTTTTACTGCCAAGAGCAAGCTCGTTCAGCTGCTGGAGTCATCTCATCTCACAAACGCTGGTACTAATTCGGTAAGCACATTTAAGATAATTTATTAAACTTTTTAGCAGTTTTGCGAGTTTTCGTCTGGAAAATATAAACGGGTGATATTCCAGGCGAGAACTCTTAAAATGGATTGGGCCAAATTTCACTGG